AGGGGAATTGCTGATCTTTATCAGTAAAGGGTTAGAAGAACAAACAATTTGAACCTTAAAAAAATTATACAGTGTGGTATAAATTGAAATAGAACAATAATAAGAAGAAGAAGAAGAAATATTCAAATTAAAGAAAGAGTGTTCACCATTTTTACGGAAGGTTCTTCACTTAAGGGGTTGAAGAAGAAGAGATTAGACCAAATGAGAATCCATACATGGGCTTCTCCAAAATTTATATAGAATCTTTTGTTGGGTCCCACTTTTTTCCTGTTAGGGTTTCTCTCTAAAAGAAACAAAAATAGTTTTTTTTGAATGTTTTTTTATTATCTTTTTTTTTTTCAACAATATTCAATTATCAAGATATGTTTCGTAAATCATTTTTAGAAGTGAGTTTTTATTTTACAAGCAAATAGCTTTTTTAAATTGATTTGTCTCGTGGATTAGACATACATTGATAATTTTTTACTCGTGAAATTTTTATTTTTTTAAAGATGACAAGAAAATCACGTAGTATTATTTATCTCCGTTAGGACTTGAAATCCGACACCCCATAGTTCTCCTCCCATTTTTATTGATTAGTATGCCTCACTCTTAGAGTTCAAAGAATAAGTTATTTAATAGTTGAAAAACTCAAAAGTCCAATAAATTTAAGTAAAATTTCTTCTAGTTATATTTTGAACCGTTTTATGAAGTGAGTAATCATTATTTGGAGTCAATTTCTTGTATGATCATCCGATTTATAAAAATAGCCTACCGAAGTCTTTTTTTTTTTGGATAATAACAAATCCATCATACTATTTTTATTTTTATTTTTTACTCAGTATTCAAGAGACACCATAAAAGCCTCATTCTCTCCATGACATGAATGCCATATTAAATACTTATTTTTTTAATGATCACACCTATTTAACTCATGTCTCTTATACCCATTTATATTTCATGGGTCAAAAAAGTTTTATTATTAAAAATGTAGGTTTTACATGTCAAAAAGCAATGGTTGGGTAATTGTGCTTCAATCCTAATCGACTTTTGACTATCATAATTAAATTATTTTGACACTGATTGTTAACGTAACACAATTCTATTTCTTTATCCCTACTTTGTGAAGGTAAAGTAACTATTTCCAATATACCCTCGGCTCAAAAAAAGAATCCATGTAAGGATAAGCAGTATCTACCGTTACAATAAAACACTAGTACTACAAGTATGGCAATTTCCGTTTCTGAGATAGAATTTCATATGCAAACAGTAGTATGATGGATTTGTTAAACGAAATTGTTTCGTTTATTTGATAATGAAGTAAAAAAAAGAAGATATAACAAAAATGGAAGGATATCTTTTCCAAATCAAATATTACATTCAACTATACCTCAATTACAAACTAATTAGGAGAATAAATATCTTATTTAGATCGTGGAAAAATGGACGAAGGGAAAAGACATTTTTTTTCCTTTCAAGACCATAATCCAACGACTATCCCCAGAGTTCTTAGCAGGCAAAAACAATACATGGAAAGGCAAAACAAGCAGTATACAAATATACAATTGACTGAACAAACAAATAGTAATAGTTTTTCATTCACTGTTCGGTACATAAATAAAAATTGAATTATATGTAATCACAATCAAGGAAATGCTGTCTAAAATGATTCACAACTATTGCATTTCTATGTTCATCAACAACAGCGGGAGTAAGAAAAATGAAAAGCAAGAAACATCCAGGGCAAGCCCGTACAGCAATGAATTAATAAGAATTTTGTGGTGCAGTTGAGGTCGCACAATGAATGGCATTTTTAATGCATACCTATAATAAGCCAGAAGGGCGTTGGTAGGGTCGCTTATTAGTTGATGACAACGTTCACATTATTCTCAGTGATGGAGGTGTTCAATGAGGTGTTGTTAATCTTTGGTGGGCCTGAATGTCGCCTTGGCCGGGCAGGTGAAGGTGGATAAGATAGCCGCTTCTTCACAGGCCCTGCCGATCCCTTTTCTGGTGTGCCGTTCTCTACGCCCAATGGACTCTGCAACCGTGTTTTTGCTTTTGCAGACTTTGTAGAGGCCATGTAACTTGGGACTGAGGGAGAGCTCGCCAAGCTCTCGTCATCTCGTATGGATGACCCTGCAATGCTATGCCTCCTGTTCCGTTCTGATTGCAAGCTAAACATGCTTCGAGCATCATCATCATCTTGGTTTATTGCACTAACTCTTGGGCTTGCTGATTTCAGCTTTCTCGCTGTTACTGAAGTTCTTGGCTTCGAAGGAGTAGTAGGTGATGAAGGGAGTTCAGAATTCAGCTGATGACGGGCAAACGCCTTGGCAATTTCTCCTCCAGTAATGCTCATGCTTCTAACAGACATCTGATCATTTTTACGTTCTTTCTCAGATAAGCTTTGAGTTTCCCAAGGCCTAGCACCCGTCCACCGCTCTAACCAGCTCCAACCCCACTGAGGATTCGTTGGATCCATGAATAACAAATTGGCAGATCTTGACGATTTTTTCCAGGTTTGCTGTTCAGTTAATAGTTTACAGAATCAATGAATCGAAAAGTCCTTCGTAGCTTGAGAAAGATCATAATTTCTAAACACATTAATCAGTCTATCTTTAAAGTCCTGCATTATGTCATGTATAATAGAGGTCGAGGCCTATCATCCATTCTTAATTGCGCTTTTGTTGGCTTGTCGGCCAAAATTAATTACAGGCGCTAGCCAACATATACAAACCATATACACTGATTATTTTTATAATATGTATATTATATGTATGTTGTATGTATATTTACATACTTATATACAAAATATATACATTTGCCAGCTATTATTTTAGAGGGCGGCCCAATTAATAATCCCTTCTTAATTTTGGACTATATGAATGTTGGCAGTATTGGGGAAAAGGGGCTTTGCACCTTAGAGCGCTGCATACATCTAAAAACTTCCCATAGAAAATGTAATATTTCATTGGACTGTGCTATCCAAAATGTCAATTTTATTTATGAAACACATATTCGTTGAATACCTGATGAGAATATGAATATGCAAGCGCTCTTTCTCGTCTAATTGCAGCTTCATATTTGCTGAGCAAGCTAGCTTCAACCTGCTTCTGTGATTGTAGACTATCATCCCATTCCTCTCCTCTCTAGCAAAAATGAGAAAACAAAGAGTGCTATTAGATGAAGAGTTTGAATTCATTCAGAAAAGACATATTGCCACCAGAATATAGATGCTCCTAAATTAAATCACATAAAGTGATTGTAGAATTATGTTCCGTTGTTCCAGGAATAAAGAAAGAAACTAACCCTCAAACTCTCGAGTTCTTTCGCATGCTTCTGCATAAGCTGCCTCTGGAGAGCTCGGTTCTCCTCCAACATCCTGATCCTTCTAGAGCTAATCTGAGATTGAACACGAGATGAAGTCTGCATGCATTTGAGAGCATTTGCAGTTTGTCGTTTGGCAGTAGGTCCATCAACAAGTGATTTGAGTCTGACGAGTCCCCTTAAGGCCTTCAATGCCCTCCTCGCCTACAAATGATAAACCAAAAATTGCATGGATATCTCAGCATTAACCAATTATTGTACATTTTCACAAGCCAAACAATTAAAATGAGATGAAACAACATACATGTATTGGTGCTGTTTGTTTGATAGAATTAGACTTATAGTAAATTAGCTTTAAAAAGTGCTCCTATATAAAACAAAAAGAACACTATTATTTTTAAAAAGCATACCAGATAACCTCGGAAGGCAGTCTGAACTCGGATTGCAGCTACTTCCTCATTTGATTTGCCAGTGAATTGGTTCACTGTAGTTAATCGAACAACCTCTGCAGCAGCGTGGGCAGCTGCAACAGCAGCTTCAGCAGCAGCAGCTGTGGCAACTGCGACCGAATAAGCATGTTTCGTCTGCTCCTCTTCCACTTCATCAAATTTGACCTCTTCCACAGGAAGGGCAGGACGAGGAGGCGACACTGTGGCGGTCACCACAGTCGAAGAATCGGGGAGCGTCTGCTTTTCTTTCCCGAACCATTTCTTCTTTGATTTACTTGCTTTCTAAAATTTAAGCACAATAAATATCAGAACCATCGATAAAAGAGAGAATTTTCATAAGGAAAGGAGTAGGGAATTGCTATTTCAATATACCTTGTCTGCCTTTTCCTTAGGATCAGGGCTCAGAGCCTTCTTTACAGAAGAAAACCAGCTTCCTTTCCTCCCCATCTTCTTTTCATTCCTCAATTTGCCCTATAACACAATTCATTACATTAATTATTTAATCTACATCAAAATGTATCACAATTTTTGTGAATTTTTTGTTATGACCGAGAAATCCATCCGAAGCCGACCCTTTGGGCTGACCACAGTCTTTGAAACTCGGGATCTTTACATGAATAGCTGACCATATTCACTGTTTACTTTTTCTAGCCATATACATAGATTATACACGATTATACATATATATTACACATATTATGCATATATTATACCTCCACTTACTATTTCTAGTTTAAGTGGTTGAGTGGGCGGCTATTTGGGTTAATTCTTCTTGAAACTCGGGGATGATCGGCCCGACCCTCTACCCTTCTCCACTTAAATACCAGAGCTAGTTCCCTTGGTGTAGGGCTCACAAATTTTCTGAATAAATATAAATCAACTTTAATTGTGACTATCTATAGAGGGAATGGAGATTTGGGCTTACAATCTAAGATCTGTGAATTACTTTCATTGCTAACAAAAATCCCAACTGTTTAAAGTGTTTATATCAGCTCAATCTAATTCAAACAGTATAGTAACTACTAACTCAATTGGACAAATTAAGCTTCAAAGATTTATCTTTCATTGTAATTTTTCAGAAGATAATGCACCAAATTGCAATAACCCAACCAAAAATATACAAATTAAAAGACATTTGCATAACGTCACTACAATCAACTTCCTTTTCAATAATAGGCCAAAGATCAAACACACATTTATCAATTAAGCTAAATTATAGAGCTAAATTACAAGAAAACAAGAAAATATAGAGCTAAATTACAAGAAAGAAGCATACATTAAACTTGAAATTGGTGAAATAAGAAAAATATGCAGTAAAAACTGGAGCTTGACAGATCTAAGGAAGCTTACATTTCTTTGTTGTGCTCTTGAAAGAAGTTAACTTTATTTCAGAATATATCTCTAAGACCAAAGTAGAGAAACAAAAATATGAGAAAATAGCTTGAGGTCTTTGGTGTCACCCCTTTTGAGGTGACTACTTGTAG